TTATTATTATTATTATTATTATTATTATTATTATTATTATTATTAACTACACCACGAACGCAAATGCTTCAGTGCCATAATGCCAGTGCGTCCACTGTGGACCCAGCTTGGAGGAAACGTTGCCCCCAGTGTCCACCGCTTGGGTGAAAGCCGCCTAAGACACGAATTGGTGCCCAGTAAGGCGTTGAATTTATATAAAAAATATTCCGGTGAACTTTATTTCACTCGGATGAAATCACTCTGGGTTGTGGGGTGTAGAATCCTGGTATGAATCTCCCATTTGGTATTGTCTGACGTGGATTGGTTTGGGTTGGGTTGTTGTTGTTTTTTTTTTGGGGGGGGGGGGGTGCACGGCTCTTCACCTATCAAGTCCTATCGGAGATGGACTTGAAATTCGGAAGCCCTCTCCTCTTAAACGTTTAGTATTGGAAGAAGCGTCTACCCCATACAACCTGATACGAGACAAATTCTCCAAACTCATGGTCATCTTAATAAGCTGCCATATATGAAGCAAACACAACCGCTCATGGTTCGCCATTCATTTCTATGTCTGGACACTCTTTAAAAACCTTATATTTTCCTGGTATTTCTTCGTCATAGATCTGTTCAGGTACTCTAAATTAGTTGCCCCCGACATACCCTTGCCTCTTTTGTCTTTATTTTTCTATTTTCTTTCCTTTATACAGCAGTTTTAAGGAAGAACCGAAATTTCAATACAAAAGCCAAAGAGTGTGGCCCAACAATCTCACACCAGAGATCTCTGTGGCGTTCCTGAGAGGCCGCTCACTTGAGCCCACTGTTTAGACAGGCAATCCGACCAAAGCTTGGCCGGTTTGCAGTTGAAATTGCCCTAAGTCTACTGGCGGCCGGAAAGAATGTTTCCGTCCGGGGGTGACATTTATCTCACGACCTCTGACAACAGCTGAGAGCCTCAGGACAAATTCTTCCATGACTTAGTAGAAAAAAGTTATGGGTTTCACGCCGTTTTCAACTCTGTACGGTTTTCATAAAAGGTGGTACCTCCGATAAAACGTTCATCTCTGACAGGATAGGGCCAGTTGGTTGGTGAAATCAGAAAACCTGTCCTCGGAAACACGTTCAAAGATGTCACAATAGGAGGGATTTGAAAGAGGGAAATCCGGATCGTAGCCCAAAATGTTACAAACTGAGCTTACAGGGCGAACTTCCGTGACCGGAACCTCTCCCTCAAATGTTGATAACCATTCCTAGATACATGTAGGGAAAAGGGCGGTGTTTACCCTGTTTAAAGCCAGAAACAAAGAGCAAAACGGGAAAAAAGAAAAGGGCAGGCCTTCTTGTTCTATCAGGAAATGTCTTTCCAGTGGCAAACAGAGAAATACAAACCACAGAGATCTAAGAAAGAACCTTGAAAAAATTAGGTGAAATTAAAACGTGCGGTATCTCCAATAACAATTCATAATACTCAAAACAAAACAAGGTTGCACTGATATTACTTTGACCGGACAACGAGAGGATGACCGATTTTATAGTGACACCGGTTTATAGATCTAGTTAGTAAAAACAAAATTGTAAGGAAGTTGTAGAACACGGCTCAAAAAAATTCGTCAAAGAAGAACAGAAAAGCCAACAAGCAAGCAAAGGGTCAGACTCACAGGCGAGCAATGTAGGTGACATTAAATAGATACGGTGTAATGCAAGAGAGGAGCTGAGCCGGTGTAGTGTTCCTTCTGAAAGAACATGGCAGACACATTACGTCCCAGTAGCAACAGACCAAAGGCAATGTTTTGGTACCGTTAGAACCATTATGCATAAACCAGTACGACAAATTTGCATATTCCATTGAATGCACGAGTTTGCGTGCCTGTCTACGTTTAAGATAAAGAAAACAGAATGAAAATGTCTGAATTAATAACCAAGTTAATATGTTTCGTTCTAAATGCGTCCTAAAATAACGCACCTTCAAAACTTGTTGAATGACCATACTGGGCCACTTCAATGAGAGAGTATGAGGGAGAATGAGAAAGAGAAAGGCAAAACACAAACACACACACACACACGCACACACACACACACACACA